GTAATACAGTGACTCACAGTCCAGGGCACCTGGATCATTTTCTAAGAGACAGGCTCTGGCTCAAACAGGAGTTAAGTCAGGGAAATCCTACGGCCTGTATTATACCATAGTCAGACTAGATTAATCACAAGGATCCTTGCTGGCCTGAGAATATACGATGCTGTGACTCTGTGCTGTAATAAATCAGCAGGTAGAAAATAGCAGCATGACCAGAAATTGTTCTCACATAGCTGTGCAGCATGTGAGATTTATTACCTTTCAGAAAAGAGCCCCTGGACGTTAGCCATGCTAGTCAGCAAGGCACATTCCCCAAAAGTACAGAACCCTGGAAAGAGGTGGACAGGAGCAACCTGTCGACAGTTCATTCTCACAATTTCTGCCCCGGGTAGGGTTTGAATTTACATTGATTGCATGGGTACAGCGCAGGTTCAATGACCACAGGTATTATGTCTGCCAATCCCCTTCGTCATCTTGCTGTGCATGCTCCTTTCAGTCTCAGCACACAACTGATTGCAAACCCCATTCTAGAGAGCTGAACTCTTCCTTTAATAACTTTGCGTTGCTTCCTCAAAGGGACAGTGGGTGCCGTGCACTAGCTGAGGCAAGGGCTAAGTGATGGACAAATCCGGGCCAGGGCTTGATCCTCAGATCTATGCAAAGAAGTTGTCAGAACCTGCTGATTTTGTAAAATACTGTTTTTCCCCCAGGGATCTATATCTCGGGAACTATTTGCTCAGATGAACCCAAATTTGGCCCATTCACCCTCCCACGAATCACAGAACCTTTCAGGCCACTCTGCGTAAGCATGCGGAGTTTAGAGAACCTAGGAGAGGCATCCTTTAAACAGAAAGTCGTGCTCAACCATACAGCGGAGCCAGCACAGCCCAAAAATCGTAACTAGGTATGCTGCCTCCACAGTGCCCCCTTGTGGCCTATGGTGCCTCTACAGCAGCCCTGCATCAGTTCCCCATTCTCAGGGCTCCTTAAGAGCTTCACACAGTCCAAGGTATTCAGAACTGATTCCCCCTGCTGGGTTGTTGTGACAATTAGTCTCTAACTTTGGCCTGCTTCAGAGTTTAGCATGGAAAGCAGGTCAAGTTATTTTCAATAAAAAGTGTTATAAACTGGTGCAAGACAACCAGACAAACTAAATTAGTTCATGTTGATAGAATTCAAGGATTGTATTGAACTCATGCTTGGTAAAAACAGAACAAGACATGGGATCAGAAATGAATTAACCCAGAATTAGTGTGTTGGATATTGGGCCTAAATGGAAGACAAACTAATGAGGGAAGGGGCCATTCCACCTATCACTCCCTTTTGGGGTCTTAAAAGAACAAAAAGGACTATGGGGAAAAGAACACCTAGAAAAACTTGGAAGAACAGATGGAGAGTACTGATGCAAGCTCCACCATCATGGATGTCCTCACCACCACCAAAACCTCGTGGGGCCCTGGACTGTCTCCGAGGAATGTCCTGAGCAGCTTCCTGTCCCACTGAAAGGGACCCACATGACATCACCACCCCAGATGAATCCCAACCTCCCCCGCAGAAAAAATGGGTTTGGACTTTTACAGCAGCAGCAGCTCCACCCATCTCAGCTAGCATCTCTGTTCCCCACAAGGACAATTAGCACCATCTGAGGGACTGTCAAACCAGGGGCTTTCCCTTCTAAGACTCTCTCCAGCTAAAGTGAGAGAGTGGGATACAAATTCAGTGAGTGAATTTGTATCCCACAGGTGCTACAATACCTAATGAGGGTTGGACTAGATGACCTCCTGAGGTCCCTTCCAATCCTGATAGTCCATGATTCTATGATTAAAGGGGGCGGGATCAAGGGAGGCTGTTCCAATGAAAGTGTTATCTAATACTTCACATTTCAAAGGCTCCCCTTTGGCCTTCTCCATACCACCCCAGCCCTTCCGGCTGGAGTGCAACCCTGCTCTTCTCAGCAAGAGGAGCCTCTCTACTGGGAGCTCATTTGCACCAGGACCCTCCCTTCCCCAGCTCGCCCCCTTTCCAGCCCTCTGGCTCTAGCTCTCCAACATGGAGACATCAGTGGCTAAGTCCCTCCACCGTTGCCCTGCCTTCAGCCCTCTCTAGCCCTGAGAGATCAGTTGGAAAACCCCTCTTGCTGCTCTCCGGCCTTCAGCTTTCCCCCAGGCAACAGCTACAGCTTCCTTCAGGGACCTCTTCCGATCTCCAGCAACTCTCACCTGCTAATCGTAGAATCATAGAATAATCTCTTACTCCCAGGCAGCTCTCACCTCCTGACCCCCTTTTAAGGCCAACTGAGGTCAGCTTACCACAGGTGCACTGGCCTCTTCCCTCTTAAAGAGGGAGTGTCATCCTTTGACACTTCCCCAGTGGGTCTGTGGGTGCCATGCACTAATTGGGATAAATATCAAGCAACTGGGAGATGCTCAGAGCCTTGGTTTGAGCCCCACCTGTGCAAAAAACAAGACACACACACAGCCAGGCAGAATCTGTGGGTTTTGTGAAACGGTGTTTTTGGAAGCATGCATGTCAGGAATCCTTGGCTCAAACGAACCCAGATTTGGCTCACTAACCCTACCCGCCCTGCCATGAGGCACAGCAAACGCCAAGGCAAGGGGAGCAGACATACAGATTTTACCGCACTTCCAAAAGTCGACCTTTGAACATTCAGAGTTTCTCAACCTGAACTCAAGTGGAGCTGACGCTCCCGTGAGCTACTGCACGAAATGAATCAGCAACCGCTTTGCTCTGCTCAGGTGTGCGGCACGGGACAGTCCTAAGATGGGACATTTGAGGAAGAACAGGGGAAGGATGTTCACATCCTTACAGCTGCAGTATACTAGAGTCAGAGCGAAGTGGCCTGCTCCTAGCTGAGCCAGGAGAGCCCCTGGAGATGAGGACAGCCTGAAACAATGGTTCTGAGGCACACAAACTGCTCCATTCGTCTCACGCCCCCACCCCAGTGAGGGCACTTGCTAGCTGGTGCAATGTCCCAAGCATGCCCATTCTCAGCTCCGTCTCAGTGTGCTCGGTGAACCTCCCACACAAAGAAGCAGAGCTCCCATGGAGAGGGGCTCCAACCCCTCAGAGTGTCAGCCTTCACCCTCCTGGGGCAGGGAGAGGGGCTTAGACAGCCTCGATGGGCAGGAATCCCCAGCTGACAAGAGGGGGCAGGGAAGGGTCCCAGTAACACATGGCAACAGGAACAGAGGTCCCATGGGGCAGGCCTCCCAGTCCTCATCACACACACACATACACACACATTAGGGGAGAATGTGGGCCTGACATGATCCCCCCAATGCTTCCTGCAACCCAGCCCCATATCACTCCTCCAGCGTCCCTCTGCCCACGCAACCCCATTTATCCCCCTCCCCACAAAAATTCACATCATTAGAATAGTTTCAGCACCTCCTGGATTTCCGCTCTACTCAGACTACACCCCCCACCATTTGCTAGAGGCAGCGTATAGCAACAGGTCCACGTTACATTTTCTGCCAAGGTTGGGTTTGAACTTGCAGTGCCCAACAGTAGCTTAAGTCCAGCCACAGCATGCTCCTAAGCCACTCAGGTCACGTAAAAGCTAGCTGGCCTGAAACTCTTGGCTAGTCTTTCTGCACGCATGCATTGCAGTCTGGTGTGGGAGTGTTTAGCATGTGCTAACACAGAGAGCTAAACTCTTCCTTTAATAATGTTTCTACTTTGTTTCCCCCAAGATGCTGTGGGAATCTTGCACTAGCTGGGACCAAAGTCAGGCAACTGAGATCAAACGGGGGAAAATCAGAGCCACAGTTTGAGCCACTGGTGTGTGCAAAAAACACTGGTAGAATCTGTCAACCTCCAGAACTGGTGCGGGGAGCTGCACCTCAGGAACTCCTCACTCAAGTGACCCCAAATTTGGATCACTCCCACTAACCCATGCCCCCATGAGGCATACCACATTCCAAGGCAATCTCAGTAAGTGTGTGCATTTTAGCACAATTAGAAGAGTGACCCAGAAAAGGTCACTTTGAACAGAAAGGCCTTCTCAGTCTGAACTCTAGCAGAGCTGGTGCGCCATACGAGCCTTGCAGGATGTTCATCAACAGTGCAGTCCATGGGCACTCGAGGACTCCACGCCAGCGCCTGCCAGGGCCCTCTGCACAGAGTCAGCAAGCTGCCTGTTTTACACAGCTGTTGGAAGGGTTCTGCCATGACCACACCTCCTTCCCAGAAGGCCCTGCCCACACATGGAGCTTCTTTGGAGGATCAGATGTAACTTGTGTCTTTTTTCAGATGTATGGAAAGCACCAGATGGACTGGCCCCTTGCTAGCCACTCGTGCCGTGCTAGGTGCTGTTCCAGGAGGCCAGAGCTTCCTGAGGTGAGCAACTGCTCACTAAGCCAGTGTCTGCACATGGCACTGTAGAAGGCACTTGGCAGGGGAAGCAAACCAGCTCCATGTCACTCAGCCGCTTTGCCTTCAGTGCGTCTTGTGTTCAAACGGTGTGAGGAAAGCACGAGATGCACATGGGAGGAACATGGCTTCCTGCACATGGGAGTTGGCTTCCTGCACAAGCATAAGCTGAGACCTGATTAAGGGGATAGGAGCCCCAGGCCGTACCACACCAACAGCCACTGCTCAAAGCGCTACAGCCGCTGAACCATCTCAAATTTGGCACCCAAAAATCAGTGGTAGGATTTGAAGCCGTTGCCCTGTATGACTAAATAATGCTCCCACAGGGCGGCAAGCACATAGGTCACGACACTGAAAGTGCTGAAGGTGGGAACTCTGGACTGGGAGCAGCAAGAGAATCAGTGACAAACTGACTCGACTGTAACTTCTGCTATTTTGTGGGTTTCAGTTTCTGGGCTGGGCACCCAGGGCAGAAGATGGGCAGCCTGAGACTTTTGTGTAAGTGGACATCAACCAGTCCGAATTGATGGGGGCTGGACGTGGCTGCCTTGCAGAGGAAGCACTCAGCCCAGTATCTGAGACAGTTGCCCTACCCGAGCAGGGAAGCTTACCTTGCCGTGGATCATACTGTCGCATCTGCACTTCCTCAACGCATTCTGCTGGGAACCAACCGGTCCGTCCTTTCACGGTTCCTTCCCAGAAGCCACCCTCACCAATACTGAGCACTATGGAAAGAGAAATGGGCAGAGATCAGAACAGGGAGAGGGGCACTGCAGGGTACAGAATTACCATGTCCAAGTGCACGGTCTGTGGACGTGCACAACCTGGGAAAGAAGGAGCCACCTAAGAGCCCTCGGAAAGGGTTGTCTTTTGTCCTTCCAGCCGCCTCAGTTAGAAAGTGAGAGACCTGGGGTGCATGCAGCGAAACGCTTGGAGAGAGAGCCAGGAGCATCCACTCCGTTCACAGGAAGCACTGGAAGGGAAGCCAGTGTGTTCCAGACGTCAGAGACTTTTTGGAAACAAGGTCTCAACACCATGACTGTGTTGACTTTGCAACTTCAGATGTCTCCTGCAAGGCAGGGAAGTACTGCCAGTATTTTACAAACAGGGAAACCGAGGCATGGAAGGGACAGTGATTTTCCCAAAGCCAAACAGCAAGTCAGTATCAGAGCTGGAATCAGATCCCAGGGGTCTGGCACCCAGCCTCGTGCTCCCAGAACTAGAAAATGCTGAGTGCATCTTCCCTGCAGAAAGAGGCGATGATGTGAACTTAGGCTAGCTAACTCAGGTTAGAAGAGCAGTGAGGAGCCTGGGGCTGAATTCAAGCTACTAACCGGAGTTCAGACCCGAGTGGCCTTGTCCTCGCTGCTCTTTTAATCTGAGTTAAGGTACAGCTTAGATGTCTTATCTACTATCAGGACACTTCAACATCAATGGCAAAATCCTCCCAACCCATCAGGGCTAACTAATAACCTTCCCTTCCCAAGTCACCCACTCCAACAGCCCAGGAAAAGAGAGGAGCCTTGAAACAGTTCTGGAAGACTAGGCCAAGGGCAGAAGTGAATTCCAGAACCAAGGGTCCTTCGCTGGCATCTTGCCAGCGGCCTTTTCCTAACTAAACCAGGGCACTGGTTGGCTGACACCTCACTGATTCCCGTGCATTACTGCAGCAACAAAGGCCAAAATCATGAAAGGTTTATAGGTTGAATCCATCACCTTTCACGACCTCTAAAAGTGACTTTGGAGCCAGTGCAGATCGCAGAGCAGTGTCATGCTCCCAGTCAGAGGCTTTGCCAAGCATTCTGCACCAGCTGCAGAGTGCTCTGCGGGCACAGCACCACAAATGCCATGCCCAGCCTTAAGGTGAAACACCTGGATCACTGTGGGGGAGCCCCAAATGCAACAGTGGTGATCAGCAACTTTACAGCAAGCACAGCTGGTATGAACTGCTCTCAGGGCACTCAACAGGACCCGGAGGGCTAATCTGAGTAACAAAGGGCAGGCAAAAAGAGGGATGTCCTAGAATCACCACCCCAGTCTCACCCAGATGAAGCCCAAACCAGCTCCCTCTCACCCAAACCCCAGGCACTCAGACGATCCATCACCTTCACCATCCAGGCCCCAGCAAATGGAGCTGTAGGACTAGTTAGCAAGCCAACGTTGCCTTGGTGAGGCCAACCCTTAACTGCAGGCTGAGCCGGAGGAGTAAATGAACAGACCCTGCACCACCCCCAGGAATGAGAAAGAGTTGCCTGATATTGCCCCAGGTGAAGAATGGAGAAACTGAGACTCGTGGGGCACGGTGGACAGATCCGAGTCTGATCACTGGCAGGTGGAGCCAATGAGATATTAAGGAATAGATAATACTGATGTATTTCCGCGTGGCATCTTCTGAGCCACACAGGGTATCTACACTGCAAAAAAGGTGTGTTCTTAAATCCGATTAGTTAACCTAGGTTAGCTACCTCAGGTTAAAATAGTAGCAAAGACATGTCAACATGGCTTTAATGAGGGTTTGCAGCTCGAGTTAAAGCCTGGTGGGGAGCCAGTGGTTGAATTCGAGCAGCTGGCGCACGTTAAAAGCCAAGCTGCCATGTCTTCTCTATTTTAACCTGAGTTAGCTAAAGTGGATTAACTAACCTGATTTAACACACAACTCTTTTTGCTGTGTCAACATAACCCTAGACAGGGACTATCGCATCCTTGCTCCATGATGCAAGAACTCTGCATATGCCGCACAAAACTGCAATCGTCTTTCTAAATGCCCTATTTTTTATTACAGCACCCTTGGGTGGGCTGGGCATTTACAGAACAAACCCTCCCAAGACCGGACAGTCTGAGGGCTTATTGACATGCAAAGTTAAACCAAGTTAGCTAATAGCATGAATTTAAAGTGCAGTACTTAGACTGAGACTTTAAGGCCAGAAGGAACCATCATGATCTAGTCTGACCTCCTGCACATTGCATGCCACAGAACCTCACCCACTCACTCCTGTGATAGACCCCGCACCTCTGGCTGAGACACTGAAGCCCTCAAATCTTGATTTAAAGACTTCAGGTTACATAAGAACATAAGAACAGCGATTCTGGGTCAGACCAAAGGTCCATCTAGCCCAGTATCCGGTCTTCCGATAGTGGCCAACGCCAGGTGCCCCAGAGGGAATGAACAGAACAGGGAATCATCAAGTGATCCATCCCCTGTTGCCCATTCCCAGCTTCTGGCAAACAGAGGCTAGGAACACCATCCCTGCCCATCCTGGCTAATGGCCATTGATGGGCCTGTCCTCCATGAATTTATCTAGTTCTTTTTTGAACCCTGTTACAGTCTTGGCCTTCACAATATCCTCTGGCAAAGAGTTCCACACAGGTTGACTGTGCGTTGTGTGAAAAAATGCTTCCTTTGTTGGTTTTAAACCTGCTGCCTATTAACATCATGGGGTGTCCCCTAGTTCTTGTGTTATGAGAAGGAGTAAATAACACTTCCTTATTTACTTTCTCCACACCAGTCATGATTTTATAGACCCCTATCATATCCCCCCCTTATTCGTCTCTTTTCCATGCTGAACAGTCCCAGTCTTATTAATCTCTCCTTATACGGCAGCTGTTCCAGACCCCTAATCATTTTTGTTGCCCCTTCTCTGAACATTTTCCAATTCCAATATATCTTTTTTGAGATGGGGCGACCACATGTGTATGCAGTATTCAAGATGTTGGCATTCCATGGATTTCTATGGAGCCAAGATGATATTTTCTGTCTTATTATCGATCCCTGTCTTAATGATTCCCAAATTTCTGTTCGCTTTTTCGACTGCCGCTGCACATTGAGTGGATGTTTTCTGAGAACTATCCACAATGACTCCAAGATCTCTTTCTTGAGCTAATTTAGACCCCATCATTTTATATGTATAGTTAAGATTATGTTTTCCAATGTGTATTACCTTGTATTTATAAACATTGAATTTCATCTGCCATTTTGTTGCCCAGTCACCCAGTTTTGTGAGATCCCTTTGTAGCTCTGTGCAGTCTGCTTTGGACTTAACTAGCTTAAGTAGTTTTGTATCATTTGCAAATGTTGCTACCTCGCTTTTTGCCCTTTTTTCAGATAATTTATGAATATGTTGAATAGCACTGGGTCCAGTACAGAACCCTGGGGGACACCACTATTTACCTCTCTCCATTCTGAAAACTGATCATTTATTCCTACCCTTTGTTTCCTATCTTTTAACCAGTTAACAATCCATGAAAGGACCTTCCCTCTTATCCCATGACAGCTTACTTTGCTTAAAGAGCCTTTGGTGAGGGACATTGACAAAGGCTTTCTGAAAATCTAAATACACTATATTCACTAAAAGAACGTGGAGTCCTTGTGGCACCTTAGAGACTAACCAATTTATTTGGGCACTGAATAGATATGCAGAGAGAGATGGCAATGGGATTGTTGCAAAGATTGGTTCCTGGGTTAGTGTTTCTGTTGTGTGGTGTGTAGTTGCTGATGAGTATTTGCTTCAGGTTGGGGGGCTGTCTGTAAGCAAGGACAGGCCTGTCTCCCAAGGTCTGTGAGAGTGAGGGATTGTCCCTGTAACAAAGCCCGTTGCCAACTCTGTCTGCATATCTATTCAAGGGACACCATCATAGGACCTAACCACATCAGCCACACCATCAGGGGCTCGTTCACCTGCACATCTACCAATGTGATATATGCCATCATGTGCCAGCAATGCCCCTCTGCCATGTACATTGGCCAAACCGGACAGTCTCTATGCAAAAGAATAAATGGACACAAATCACACACCACAAACTGTAATGTTCAAAAACCAGTCGGAGAGCACTTCAATCTCCCTGGACACTCAATAAGAGACTTAACAGTGGCCATTCTTCAACAAAAAAAACTTCAAAAAACAGACTTCAACGAGAAACTGCAGAACTGGAATTAATTTGCAAACTTGACACCATCAAATTAGCCCTGAATAAAGACTGGGAGTGGCTAGGTCACTACAAAAAGTAATTTTCCCTCTGTTGATATTCAGCCCTTCTTGTCAACTGTTGGGAATGGGCCACATCCATCCTGAATGAACTGGCCTCATTAGCACTGACCCCCAGCGAGGTACGGCAACTCCCATCTTTTATGTGCTGTATATTTATACCGGCCTACTGTATTTTTCACTCCATGCATCTGATGCAGTGGGTTATAGCCCATGAAAGCTTATGCCCAAATAAATTTGTTAGTCTCTAAGGTGCCACAAGGACTCCTCATTGTTTTTGCTGATACAGACTAACACAGCTGCCATTCTGAAACCAGCCACTGTATTTACTGGATCTCCCTTGTCCACATGCTTGTTGCCACTCGCAAGGAATTCCAGTAGATTGGTGAGGCATGATTTCCCTTTAAAAAAACCATGTGGACTCTTCAACAAATTACGTTCACCTATGTGTCTGACAATTTTGTTCTTTACTAGAGTTTCAACCAGTGCACCCGGTACTGAAGTCAGGCTAACTGGCCTGCAATTACCAGGATCACCTCTGGAGCCCTTTTTAAAAATTGGTGTCACATTAGCTGTCCTCCAGTCAGCTGGTACAGAAGCTGGTTTAAATGATAGGTTACAGACCACAGTTAGTAATTCTGCAATTTCAGATCTGAGTTCCTTCAAAACTCTTGGGTGAGTATCATCATCTGGTCCTGGTGACTTATTATTGTTTAGTTTATCAATTTGTTCCAAAACCTCTT